TATATATATACTGTATTATGAAGAGCGACTGTCAACTTCATATTAGTGACTGTCAACTAGTGCCATTAGTAGTGGCGAGTAATTGTTTTGATTCTGATCCAAAGTGACCACCGTTAAACAGTTTTGCTGCAGGCACTCATACAAACTACACGTTGTTTAAGGTTTCGTACAGCTGTTTGGTCAACGTTAAGATAACAACATTACTAATTTGATGTTATTGGCAGACACGTTATTAAGCTCGAGCCCATTTGGATGACTTACGTTGTCAAATACGAAAGACTGCATGCTGGGACTTTCTGGCTTGAAACCCTAAATATAGTCTGAGCTCTCTTTTTATGCTCAGCTGCAACCCGAAACAATGTTGGGCATTTATTACTGCTGCTATTATTAGTGCGCCGTGCACTTATTTAGAAATTGACAAGCCAATTCGGACTGCATTGCCAGCTCTTCTCGTTTCACTTTGTGTTGAAATGTGTGACTCTCGCTTAGGAAACTGATGTTTTCTTTTTTCTTTAAGTACAGGGCTGGTCGTCTGATTATAAAGAAATGAGGTGAAGAAGACACACCAGTAAACGTGCCATTTAAAATCCAATGGATGACAAATTTCTCCTTATTACAAACCAACGAACCCCGTTCAAGCTCTTGTATACTTTTCATGGCCCTATAGTTGCGACTCAAAGGTGGCGATTTTGAAACAAGATGCCGAGATGATGGCCGAGCTGTTATGTAAATTGGCCCGGCTCGGCCTGTGCGACTGGTTTCGTTAAGCTTACGTTAAACAGAAAACATAAAACTGGATTGTATGTCACTCAGCCACATGTAGTTAAGAAACAAAGCCAAGGATGGTGCTGGGTCACAGAAGATGCTAGAAGGGGAAAAAAAATGATTGCATTCTGAGTGTTGTAGTTCCCTCACTATGTTCACTCAAATGATCCGTTGTTTTGAATGAAACATAATTAGATGCGGTATAGTTCATTGGAACTTCAATTATGCAACGGATGGAGGGAAAAAACAATCAGATGTTGCAAGTCATTCATGATTCATTTCATTGAGATTTTGCCCATGGTTTTTTTTTCTTCTTCTTTAACTTTTGTAAGCGCTCGAACCACACTGAGCTCACAGAAATGTCAGCCAGTGGAAAATATGAGTGAATGTGGCTTTCAGTATCTTGATGTTCTGTATGTTTTGAGATCCCACCAATATGAGATCATGACAAATGAAGTAAAATACTGTCAAGTGGTTCGCTTTATGATTTCTTTCTTTTTTTTTTTTTTTGAAGCGTGGAAAATGTGACGGATGCCGACTTTTTTCTTTTTTTTGCTGGCCCAGAAGACAGACACAAACCACTTCCTGACTTTGACAAGGTACAGACTTAATGTCACATTCAGAGCATGTGGGAATGTGAAGTAAGGTCGAGAACGGCTGAATTGATTCGAAATTTGGTTCCTCGTTTTTGGTTTTTAAATCTTTTCTTTGTATTTTATGAAACTGAATGGCCTCTTGCTTGCAGCGCTCCATCCTATCGAGTGAATGTTCGGCATCAATGCTTGAGGAGGGACATATGAGGCCCAGATGGGGCGACTGAAACCCCCAACAGCCTGAAAAGCGACATGTTCACCAAACGCGAGGCGGGGACACTGCCAAACGTTCGGCAGCCTGTCGCTGCGTGCCGTCTTAGTTTCTTGCCATTCGCCGTCATGGTTGGATAAGCGTGCGAAACTCGTCTCAGGACTTGAAAGTCGTAATTGTCATTTGAAAACAAAACCGATTAGTCAGCTTTCAGTACATTTTTTTAGCTGCCAGACATGCGACCAGTGTGACAAACGGGGTTTTTCTTTTTTTGTGCTGTGTTACAATTACCGCCACAAATGGGAACCACGAACCAATGGTAGCAAGCTGTGAAATAATGACCAGAGAACCTGGAAATTGAACTTTTTTACATGACTTTGATGTAAAGTTTCATGAGGGAAACACTTGGACCCTCTAAATCCAAATGAAACAAAGGATTGGTTTTGCAGTGTATTAAACGTGAGAAATACACACGATTGAAAACTTAACACTTGTGTGAAACGTTTAAGAAAAAAAAATAGGATTGCTTTCTCAAAATAACTAAATTTCACTTGTTCCCATGGTGATCTCAGACCTTATCCAGCCATCACGGTAGATTATTGATTCAAATGGTTAAACTGAAATGAATCACTTTTTTTTTTTTTTTTTTTTGTGGGCCTCATTATTCGCTGGCTTCCACTGGTTACATAACAACCGGGAGTGGATTTATCTGTTTCTCCTCAACCTCAAACCTTCCATGTCTCAAAACTGTCCCTTTGGCACTCCCCTCGACGACGCTTACAAAATGTGAAGGCAGATGAGCGTTCCGGAGCGGGAAGCGTGCAGTCGGTGGAGTTTTCAAGTACAAACCGTTGAGGTGTTGCGTGTGCAACCAACGTGACGCGCCAACAAAACCACCGTCGTCTTACCGTAACGTCTCCATCTCTGAACTAATGGCAAACCTATTTACCTCTGAGCTGCGCTGACCTTCTCGGTATTATTCAATCACGTTGGCATGTCCCTTCCCCTAAAGGGGAGGACTGGATCATCCCCTGTGGTTACCTAGCAACTAGTAAATATTGTACAGCTAACCATCACAGCATCCCAACGTGCACAATTGCACGTGTGCAATTATGGTCGTGCGTTAAGGGCAGCCTCGGTCGATGATCTCGGCCGTCGGCGCGCTCGCTATCTTGACGTGACGCTTTCATCTTCAGCGACGCGTGAGATGATGATCTCAAGAATAGCAAATATTGTCATTCTGCCTGGGGTGGCGGGCCAATTATAATCGTGACCTTCTCCCAGAATAGAAGTATTATTACACACAAACACACACACACACACACATAGATGAATTTGAGCATATTAGATGATGTCTGGTGATATTTTACACCACAACAGAGATCGCTGGACGGTTGTATGGTATATCGGTACTAGAAGGCACTTGCGTCAAGCTGTTTATCAGTATTTCGTGCACCCTGTAACACGATAACGTGATAAGCTGCCCACTGTAGTGACCGCTGTCCCTGAAAGGGTTTAAAAAAAAAAAAAGTTCATTTGGAGAAATGGTTGCCTGGTAATCTGATTCCTAGGAATCGTTGATTTGCTTGCCTGATGATTGCGGTTCTTGTCTCCTCTCATGTTGATAAATGAGTGATGACATCACACTGGTCGACATAAAGTGAGGCATAATACAGTAAATAATAGTCGTCACATACCAGTGGCATTCCTGAGCTCCTTCACTTTAGCTGCGCTCATTTCAGTCGTCGTCGTTCTTGTCAGATGACCTCGATAGGTCAAGTACTTGATATGGAAGATGACCTCTTTTTTTTATCCTTTTTTGACGTCTCATTGTTGACAAAGCCTTGTGACATCATCAAACAGAGACTGCATAACACAGTGTGGTCGCATTGTTTAAAACAACAAATGACTCACGTTGAGAACATGCGAATTCGGCGTCTAATGATTCTAAAAGGTCAATCGGTGGGAAATTGAGTGGGAATGATTGTTTATTTGTGCCCTGTGATTGGCTGGCGACCCGTGCGGGGTTTACGTCGCCCCAAAGCGCGCCGGGATAGGCTCTTGATTGATGTTTATCATGTCATTTCAGTTTGGGTATTACTTGATGGCAGGCCTAGCTGTCAAAGTTCAAATGTCGGTATCATGAGAACATTAGAGCGCGTGTCTGGAACCAAAACATTTTCTTGCAAATTTTACTGCGCGCCAGCTCATCAGAAAATATGTGCTGCCTTCCACCTTGAACATAAATACGCGGATTAAATATAAATAACAATGACACCCCCGAGCAGCCGTTGTTAATGGCGTGTAAATAGCAACTGTTTCTAGGACGGTGGGTCACCTGCTGCATGTCTGTGTTGGAGCGTGGGACCGGTCCCACGAGGGGCTGCGACTCGGCCTTGTGATCGCTTTGCATCTCTGCGGTGGTCTTATTGCAAATGAACGTGGGGAGACAACGTATTGGACCATACTGCCAGACTCGCTCGCCGCAAAATGTTTTGTATGACTTGTAAGAGTGTGATTCGGCGACTTTGTACAGCTTGTCTTCCGTCTTGTTCTGCTGTGTCGGCAGCCGCCGCCGCCGCGTTCTTTCTGCTCAGGCTAACTCCCGAGAAAATTTGACACAAGCTGTCAGAAATGCGAAACGCTTCACTTCCTATGACAGAGATGGAGGCTGGAGGGGGGGGGGCACAGCAGGTGCACGGAATAGCGCAAATAGAAGCCTTTTGACGAAT